CTGCTGCCCACTTCCATAGTCCGTCCAGATCCTTTTGGATCTGGAGTACCTGCTCCTCAGTTGTGGCCACTGCTCCAGTTTTAGTATCATCTGCGAATTTGATCAGCAGACTGTTCACTCCTTCTTCCATGTCATTTATGAAAAGATGAAACAGGATCAACCCCAGGACAGAGCCCTGGGGGACCCCGCTTGTCACTAATGGTTACCCTCTGCTTTCGGTCAGTCAACCATGCCCTAATCCACCGGACAGTGCTTTGGTGTATCCCAAAACTCCTCAGTTTCTCCACCAGGATATCATGGGGCACTTTGTCAAAGGCCTTGCTGAAATCCAGGTAAACCACATGCACAGTGTGAACTCACTGTGATGTGCAGTGTCTGTGTAGGTGTTGGTCAAATCCTGCCCTACCCTACACCCATCCCCACCTGCTGCCAACTCATAGGACACCCAGGAGGAAAGCGGCCCTGAGGCCTGAATCCTGACATCTGTGTTCTTGTTGCTTTCACACATGCTCAGCTCTCCTGTTGGCTTGCATATGTGTACTCCTTCCCATCTGCTTGCTCCTGTTTGCTTCAGTGGGTGCACACGGTGGGTACCCCCTTCCTTTTCTTCTTCCTCGGGCAGGCAGCAGGGACAACTCAAGTGCAGGCTGTTGGGCATCCAGGCCAAAGAAGTACTACAAGGTACCCAACCTATTGTGTTGCAAGCTAGCATACTGTTCACATGGTGGATAGAGACGAGGGAAACTTTTAGGAAAAGATGGTGGACTGGTGCTTGGGATTTCTAAACACCAGTCCTTGATCAACAATATATCAGAGAGAGGGCTAGTCTAGCTCAATTCTCCTTGAACTGCTAGTTTTCTTAGTGTGAGGGAAGGCTGTTTCTTTTGCTCGTGAGGAACATCCAGGCAGCCTTCCCCCACTGCAGCCTAAAATGTGACTGTGTGCGCCTGCTTACCCGTGCTGTGATAATCCTGATTACAGCCTGCCACAAGCAAAGGAAGTACCGCAGAAAGCTCTGTCCGCTCATTCCAGCAAATGTCAGCTCAGGACAGCAGAACTGTGCACTGCACAAGGATAGACCTTTGGATAGAGCCCTCTTTGACCAGAAAAGCCAAGACCATTCTTTGGACAATTTCTCAAATCCCCCAAAGCACACATGGGCGCAAAAAGATTGGGGACCCCTGGGCTACAGAGCTGCTGCCAGTTATTTACCCAGGAATTTTAGTCTTTAGTCTCTGTTGTTTTAAGTCCTTTGCTGTATTTTAAATCTCGGTACTATGCCTAGGTTTTACTTTGGCTTTTACTTCTCTTTTATACCATGGCTTTAAACTTTTATACTGTATTTTATGTTGTATTTTATGGTTTTAATTTTGGGTAACTGCCAAGAGAGCTTCCGCTATTGAGCAGTAAAGAAGTGCAATAAATAACAATAGACAAATCTAGGCTAGATGGTTGAAGAGTGAAAAGAGAGCTTGCTTTGTTGCTGCTCCGCTCCCATCACCATTCCGCCCTGCCAGTCTACTTGGACCTTCACCCATCTTGGACGTAACTTTCTGAAATGTGTGAGCACGCTTTTATGATAGCAGCCCTTAATCCCATGACAGATTACACCACTTCCTGACTCAGAGTTGCCTGCTGCTGTAATGCGAGTCCTTTCACAGGAACAAAAAAGTAATTCGCCATCAGGCATTCTCAAATAGCTGTGGTTGCCAGGAAACAGCATCACACTGTATTAACAGGGTAGTCTTCCACTGCTGCGGAGCAAGTGTTGCTTCTGGTGAGCCATCAGTTTGCTTTTACTATTAGTACAAACTAGCCCATTACGCACTCCTGGGCATAGGTACAGGTCTGAGTCCCGTGTTGAAAATAGCCTGCCCAGTTTACAGTTTACAAAAATATAAAGATGTTTATCTATAATTAAGATCTCCCTTACCTTTTAAACAACAAGTCTCAGTAAATCTATGATCTTCATAGTGAGCACATGTTTCCTCATTGTTTTTCTGTTCTCATTTCCTCTCATCTTGTGCTGAATATATGGGGGCCTTGGCAAATATTAGCCATGGTTGCCAAAACACATTTGGATTTCTTAGATTACTTTCATGTTTAAATTATTATTTTCATTATAAATTATTGCTTACTTAGCAACTAGTTAGACTAGTTAGAGAGATCTACAAGTGATATTTAAAAAGTTAAAAACTGGGGTTGGGAGAAACCTTTTTTGTGAACACTGGAAGCTTGCACATGGAAATCAGACTCATGGCAACATGAACTGGAGACTAGAAAGCCAAGCCCAAGGAATCCAACAGATTCCCACCTCCAAATGGGTTCATTGCACATCCTATAAAAACTGTTTTAAAACTATAAAATCATATTCAAGAATAATACTATGCTCTGTATTTAGAAACAATCCGTGTTTAGAAACAAACTTTGGCAACTTCCAAACTTGGGATCACCTACGATTACAGCTGGGTGATGGGTCCATTTGGTTTCCCTCTGTTTGGGTGCTTCTCAGTGTACAACCTTCTGAACTCCAAAGATTACAAGCATCCATTGCAGGGTGAGAGGAGCACAGAGCCTTCCCTCATCCTCCAAAATACTTAGATGGGTGATTTCAGTTGTCTACGTGTTTTACCCTTGCATGTGAGGAGGAGAGGCTGAGGCTCCCCTGAGATTCTTCATATCCCAGGGAAGTCTTGCTCTTCCCTTTCCTATCCTCCAGATGCCCCCCAGCTCAGAAAGAACTATGGTGAGGCCAAAGGGAGAGCACCCGGATATCAGAGCTCCAGCTCTGACCTTAGAACACTTCTCCAAGGTTAGAGCTGGAACTGAATTTTCTGAATTCAGAAACTCTTAATTTTCTTACAGACTTCAAGAGAGCATCTAGTAGCCGTGGGGTTGTACCCTTTGCCATTTTAGCCTCAAGAAGAGAAGAGTGAAGAGAAGGATGATAACACTCTTTAAGTACTTGAAGGCTTGCACAAAGAGGAAGGCCAGGATCTTCTCTCGATTATCCCAGCCGTGGAGTAATGGGTCCAAGTTACAGAAAGCCAGGTTGCAGCCGAATAATTTCTGACTGTTGGAGCACTTCAGCAATACGTGCAGGACCAATGACCTAGGGAGGATGTGGGCTCTCCCACAGTAGAGGCATTCAAGATGCCAGTGGGAAGCCATCTGAGAGGGATGGTTTAGCTTGGAGTTAACACTGAGCAAGGGCTTGGACCCAATGGCCTTCTTGGCCCCTTCTAACAGTTTTTTTTAAATATATACCTTCTTGTATGCATTTTTATTCCATAACGAAATTTGGAGATGTGAGAATTTCAGAGGTGGGATGATTGAATTTTTCCTCATCTCTACCCACAGCCTTAACACTTGGTGTGCCATTCACAAGACTTGGATGACTGTTCATATCCATTACAGGGATGAATGGAAAATGTCAATTAGTGGTAGAAGATGGAAGATTGCCTATGTAAATCAATCTGTTGTGATTAAAGTTCATAGAATCAATGGTTCGCAGTATGTCAGCTACAGGAAATAACAAGTTTGATATGCAGCAACCCTTTCCAATATTATTTGCTTCCATGATTAGTCATGTCTAGGAGGAACTGTCAGACTCAAATCTCAAGAATTTTGGCACCCACAATATTAACATCAGCTATGGTGATACACACACAAAACTGAACTCTAAGTCTACTCTATTCCCAAATGAGCTCATAACAACCTAATGGTTTGTAAGGACTGACTGTGCATTTATATCCCAGAACTGATAATTACGTGATCGGCTATGAGGGATGTCAGAGGAATTTTCAATGGATGCAATTGTGTTTGGATTTCTGTGAATCTGACCCAAAGATCCGCCAACACATGGGCTTTTCCTGAGCCTCATGGACTCTGCAGACCAGAGAACAAGATTTTTATTTTCTATCATTTTATGCAAATTTAGTAACGAAATACATATTGGGGGGATTTGTGCATTTTTGAAGTGCAGAATTGCACACAAAAGTATTCACACAAACTCTGATTCTGTAAGTAAGCAGATGACACAGACAGAATGGGTTTAAAACACAGTTTGAATGGATTTAATAAAGTTTGTGCATCCCTACCTGTTACCTTAACGTGGGACATCTGAACAGGATAACCACAGTTTGTTTCTTCAAGCCACACTGAAAAGGTGGAGGTGCTGATTCTGGCATCTGTTGCCTTTTGTGGTCTCTGCTACGTTGGAAGAGTACAGGTGACCCCCAGGTGCTCTCATAGCGGGCCCTATGCACGAACACCATCCAGTATGTGAATTGCACAATGTTAATCTATGCTATTAAAAATTAATATATGCTATTAAGATATACCAGTCCATCACCATATTTTCATGACAGTGGCTTGGGATGGAAATGTCGGAATTGAATTTGAAGGCGTTAATCTGAAGGGAGCTATCATATATAGATCTTTCCTCTCACACTTCACTGTTACTTAGGCTGGATATTTGGCAAGGGCAAAAATGTTCCACTTAGGTGGGAGAACTGGAGCAAATTTTGAATGGAAGGAAGGAGAAAGTGGAAAGCAAGGAGTCAAACAGGCTTTCCCACACTGCTCTTTCATTCAAGATCACAGTCTCCCAAAATTTATTTTCAATTTTTTTAATGTGTGTACCAGGTAACTTGTAAGATTTGTGTGTACCAGGTAACTTCCTCCCTAAAGTCCTTCCTAAAAACTACCCTATGGTTTTCAAAATCTAGCAACAACGTTGACCAACACACTCTTACAGTTATTTGTCAGTGGTATCAGCCCAGGCATTTGATAATCCAGACAGGAATACAGAGTTATATTATCACTTCCCGCTAAACAAAACTAATTGTGGAGCCGTCATTCACCATTAAACAAATCTTTGTACAATCACAATTCATGCTACAGGAACTAAATCTGCTGGAGGAATAAAAATCATGGAACAACTCTTGGAGTGTGCATCTTGTAGTCCAGCATTTCATGTAAATATCCTTGCCTTTTAGGTTGTACTGGTGAGTGGACATCTGGACAGCTGGGATGTGGGGCAAGGAGCCATGGATGACGGTGGGGGAGCATTTGTATCCTGGGAAGCCTTATCACTCATCAAGGATCTGGGTAAATATTTACCTTGAAATTTATCTAACAAGTAAGGAATTGCATTGCTTCTGAAACTTTTTAAAAAAGCAATAGCTGGTGTGATCATTTTATCTAATCTTAGGCTATTTGCACTGCAGTTTGTTCTAACAGTAGGTGATGTTTTTGGAAGAACCCTTGAGTGATGTTATTTGACCAATGTAACTGTTCCTTCTTTTTTAAGTCTGTGACTGAACACAGCCAGTGTGTTCTGTCCTTTTCTTAGGCTTTCTGTGTGTCTTGAAACCTAAAAAAGGAAACAGCCATACAGACTGCTACATTATTTTGTTCAGGAAAACAGTGCACAAGCCCTACCACAGACTCCCATGGTCTCATTTCTAAGATGGAGGCCTGTGCTCCATCATCCTCTCTGCCATAACAGCCGCCCTTTTTTGCCATTGGGCCCTGTCCTTGCATGATGAGTCTCTGACCATTGTTTATTACTTACCACTTATTATGTTCCCCTTTTTAGCTACAGTCCTCAAAATAATTACAATAGTTATACCATGCAAGAACCACAGTCAAGAACCACATGCTCAAAAACAAATGAAACTGACTGACATAACTAGTTCCGTATGAGTAGAAGTCAACCTCTGACATTTCTTCCCACAGAAACATTGATGCCAGGTTGGCCTTATGGGTCAGGTGAGATAGTCCAACCAGAGTTTGGGGCAGGTGAGGTTTTTTTTGCTTTGCAGGGGTGTCCCATCCCATCAGGTCCTGAGATACCTTCTGGCTGATGCTGCTTCTTATGTCTGCCATCCTTTCTTCAAGTATCTCAGGCCCATCTACAGATGGTGATCCTGTTTTACTCTCACAACAACCATACCAGGTGGGTTAGGCTCAGAGCATGACCTAGTTTGCATGATCACTGCAGTCCATTGCCCTAGCTTATTGAAGCCACAGTGGGCTGTGGCATGTGTTTGTAGCCATTTTGAGTATGCAGACACTGACGAGGAGTTTCCATGGCTTGTCATGTCAACCAGGTTTGGGAAGTTTAAACAACCCTCAGATGACCCATGGTCTCTTGTAGGGTTACACAACAAAGCTCCCACCATAATCTGACTGGAATGACTGTGTGAAATGAAACAGTATGTAAGTTGCCACAGGCCACCCAAGAGATTTTGCAACTGAGCTGAGATTTGAACACAATCCAACAATCTGTCCACTCCAATTATTTCCATACTGATAGTGTTCAAAGCATATATTATCAAAATAAACTTTACACCAGCCCTGCAAGTTAGATCCAGATGAGCGCTGCATTGTAGGAGGGCTGGACTAATAGTGACTCCCCTAAAGCCATTACTAAGTTCATGCCCAAAATAAGATGCCAGCTGGGGCTTACAATTCTTGCTCTTATCCTCTATGATCTATCTATGATAAAATCGGCATGAGTCAAGCAAGGCCACTCTAGCCCTGTTTGTTCATCCTTTAGCACCATAATGCAAAGACTGTGAAACTTAGGCATATGAAATGTGGCCCGTGTGCCAAGGTAACTGTAGGGTGTGTGAAATTATTTTGTTTTTAAAATGCATTCGTTAATTGTAATTAACTGAAATATGCCTGTGTGACCATAGCCTGCAATAACCAGTTCAGCCACTAAGGGAAGACTTGGCAATCCTTACTGTTTGAAGCCAGGGAAACTGAGTAGGGTGACTCTGTCCGTTTTGAGTCTGTTTCTCCCCATTCCTGTGGGTCAGGCTGTCTTCAGGGAAATAGAATGGGCACACCCTTCCTTCAGGGAGCTATGGGGTGCATCATATTAGAGACTATGCCCAGGGTTGTCAGTGGACGTGGCTTCATTCAAACAGGTCAGGCAGTAAGCGTCCAACTCTGATAGCTGACCATACATGCTTCACTCTGCCAAATCGAGCTAAGCTATATCCAGTCTGCCCATTCACCAGCATGCAGCCTATGTCCTGAGTCTCTGTGGTCACCAAACTGGCTGGCAAACACTGCTCTTCTGCACACTAGCCAAGCTGATGTGACCTGCTTCCGACAGGCTTCTGACTTGTTTGAGCCTCTTCGAGCAGTAACTGAGAGAGTCCTCTGGAGTATAATCGGTCTTCTCACAGATTGCCTAGAAATTCCAAAGCCTCACCTTGGGTAGCACAGAGAAGCACATGAGGTTCTTCCTCTCACCTGGCAGGTGGCCCATGCAAAGGACCCGATGGCCCTGGAGCACCTTGGTGATGCCCAGTGAGAGAAAGCAGCACTTTGCACTGTACTTATTACCACGCAAGCTGGGACTGTGTAGAATGCAAAGCTGCTTCAGAGGCTGCTGAACTCAGCTTCATTGCCATGCCGAGGCAATTTTGAATCAGTACTGCAGCTAGAGAGTGAATATTAAGACTTCCCCTCCCTCTGTGCTACTACCCCCATCCCCAAAAGATCCAGCCAACCTGGCAATAATGTTTGCAAAAAAACCTTGCACTGGTGCCAATGGAAAGGTTGCTTTCCCTGAGCTTAATTGCTTGGGGTGATGTGTGTGTGGGAGAGAAAGGATTCCTCAAAGACTTTATTAGCCATTCTGCTTTTGTGCATTTTTTCACACCTGCTCATACCCATTGCAAATTAACTGTAGTTAAAGAGTTACTATTGATTTAGGATGATTAGGGCACAGTATAACTTAAATAAACAATCTATTTCATTTTGTGCAATTTGAATGTAAATGTAATTGGCTGGCTTTGGGTTCTGCAAAAATTTAAATAAATTCTGTTAATTATTTTTAACTGTGCATATATAGATACAAATTAGATTGCATACATTTTATACATCCAGCAGAATCATTTAGGGTGGTAAGGGACTTGTCACAAGCCCCAGTGCCCCAAGCCTCCCCTTAGTACATCAATTGCTCACTGTGACACTTCTAACAACCATTTCGTAGATTAAATTTCTTGGATAAGAGCCAAGCTGAATGTAACCATGGAGGTGGAGATCAACGCAGAGGTGACGAGCAACTCCATGAATGGGGTTATCTTGGATTAGTTTCAATTTGTAAGTCCTGTTGACATTGACAGACTACTTGGACTCCTGAGAAAACTATCAGCCTTCTGGATATGTGCCCATCATGGCTAGTGATCCAGGGGTGGAGGCACTGAGGGAGCTGTTAGGTCTTATCTTCAATGCCTCCTTCAGAAAAGATAAGGTTCCTGACTGTCTGAAGGAAGCTATTGTATGGCTCTCCTTAAGAAACCTAATATAAATCCCTGGACCTTAATAACTTTATACCTGTCACAAATATGCAATTACTTTGTAAGTTTACCAAGGAGGCAGTGTCTCTCTAGCTCTGGGACCCGTTTCAAACTGGCTTCAGAGTGAAATACAGAATTGAGACTGCTTTGGTCACTCTAATAAATAATCTACAACTCTGAATTAACAGGAAGAGTATGTTCATGTTGGATTTGTTGGAAATCTCAGCAGCCTTTGATATGGTTGACCATATTCTCCTTCTGGATCATCTGGGGGAGTTGGGAATTGGGGGTATTGCCTTGCAGTTTTTCCACTCCTGTCTAAGAGGCCTTCCCAGATTAGATTTGTTTTATTTAATATGTCTGGGTTTTAATTTAAATTTGGATTGTTCTTGTTTTTATTCTCTTGCAAACCACCCAAAGTCTACGGGAATGGGGCAGTATATAACAAAATAAACAGATACCGGTCTGTGACCAATGTAGGAAAGGGTAAATGAGTGATGTTTAACATCACCACAACTCTCCAAATATTGAGTCTCAGCTCATCTTATGCCTGATTCCTGTTTGTATTTTGGATCACCTCTTGCTTCACACAAATGAGAATTTAGCAAACTGAGCAAATTGTGCAAATGGAGAAGGGATTGAATGGGAGATTTGTACAAAGCTCCCCAAATTTATGCAACTTTCCAGTGAAGCTAAATTGGTCTACCGGGGAAGTTTGCACAAATTATTAAATTTGTCTGAATTGAAGTAGAAATTAGTAGAAAACTGAGTACAAGTTTAACAATTTGCTAATATCTGTAGTGGATGTATCATCATCCTCACATGCAGCCCCACCCAGCCTTTTTGTGGCCACTGCCAACATCAAATTTGCCACCAAAATTCATAGACAAAGCACCAAGAAGGGCCTTATTTTTAAAGAAAACAAGTTTTATTTGATGCCCTAATTCATCAGTGTTTCAGCAAAAATGTCAGTTTTAGGGCAAAGTCAGTGCAAAGATATACTCCGTGGTGCTTTCTGTGTAAATGTGGTGGTGTGTGGGAGAGAGTTCCAGAAGTTGCCACCCCAAAGTTAGAAAAATAGAGTCAAATTTCTAGTTCTACAGGCATTGTTCTCCAACTGCCCAGGTGAGTCCCAGCTGTATGGACAATGTTATATGTCTAAAGAGACAGGACTCCTCCTCTGCTAATTGTTCATTTGTTGTTATGGCACTAAAATATCTGCTACAGCAGATGATGAGTGGGTGTGCTTTATAAAGCAATGCTCTACCTTAAAACTAAAAACAAATAGCTTTAACATTAACAGCTTTAAAATCATAAAATTTGTCCCTGAATGATGTACCATATTATTTCATATGGCTTTCTTAACAGTACGAAGAAATGATCATGGTAGAATTGTGTAGGAATGAATTTGCTATTGCATTAGTGAGCTTTAAAGGCAATTGTTTCACTATCAAGTCACCAGGGATGACTATGTTCTAGCACGTTAGCATCTCCAGAGTTCCTCTTGTGCTCGGCCTGGTCCTGCAAAGGGAGCCAAGCCAGGAGGAAGTCTGTGAACGTGCATGGAACGCTGGTTGTGCAACTGGCACAGGTCCCCATCAGGAGTGGCTGCAGGGTCCAGAAAAGTCGGCACACCATTCCCAGCCATCAACTTGCTTCCACCTGTGGCAGCACCCATGTGGGGAAGAGGGGCACTGTGAGTGGCCATACTTGCCGTCATTCCAGGTGGCAGCATGTGCAGGAACAGGCACCGTGGACAGGAGAGCCAGGAGCCCTTCCCAGCAACTA